CATGAAACCTCTTGAGACATTGAACATGAGTCTTTGCCAATAGGTATTAGCATGCTTTGCTTCCCTCTCTTAGGCAACTCTTTCCATTAGATCTTAATACTTTAGGCAAGAGAGAGAAAGCAAGAGAGACAGTGAGAGAGAGCAAATTCCTCTTGAATAACACAGCTTGTTTACAAACCTTCCACAGCCTGAACTAAGCCAATGGGAGGTCTCTAAATTAGCTATTGGAAAAGCATTTCAGGAGGGTTTGTGTACTGGAATGGAATTGATAATAAAAGTTTCTTGTCTGTACCCTGTGAGCTGATTAGCTCAGGAAGAGTACACACAGTGTTACAATTAGCATTCAAAGCCTATTCATCTGTACACTGGCACAGAGAACAGTCTCTGTGGGAGGCTTAACTGGGAGAATTATTCCTTCTTCTATGCTGTTTATAGTTAGTTGAGCTTTAAAGGATCCAAAGCCTTTAAAGAGACTTGGTCTTCAGGAAATCATTGAAGATGCTAGAAGCTGAGGTGCTTACGAATTGTCAGGTCTCAGAGGAGCTGCTATATTGCTCTCTATAAAGCCTGGCATTTTGCACTACAAAAACATTGTTTAATCAGTAACACATCTAAAATAATGTCAGTAGTCAGGATTCAGTAGCCAAGACAATTGAATGTATTATATGTGACAATTCTTTCTGCAATGTTGCAGTTGCTAGTACAGATGTGGAAAACCACAAGAAATTGAATAAATTAGTGGTCCTATAGCACTATAGATGTGCCTGTTTTTCCAGGTATAATGATAGGCCTTGCATTTAAAGAAGACATTAAAATTTAAATAAATGGGGCTGAAATACCATGGAGCACCAAAAGTGCGTGATTTCCTAACACGGGGCATTGCATTAACAGTGCTCTTGCTTGCAGGTTTATCCAAACAAGAGTTTGAACTTCCTTCTCACCCTTCTGTAACTGTCAATACCAGGGAAGATTGACAGAAACCCACAGGATACTTACACTGCTCCCACTCAACCAAATGCTACATTGGGAATCCCAGACTGCCCTATGCCTGAGTAATGTGCACAAAACAAGCTCCCTTCAGTCCTCAGCTGTGGGCAGGCGTGGGGGACTGCCAGTCCCGCTGCATGTAATTTTCCATTTTTGTCCATGTGTCCTAGGAGCCAAGGTTTTCAAGGACAGCATCTCCATGTGAGAATGGCTGTGGGCCATGTCAGTGCTTTACAAGTTTCCCCTCAACAAAAGGAAAGAAGAAGAGCCTTCATGCTCTGGGGGGAAGTTGACCTCAAAACTCTCATGAGTTCCCCAAGTCAATTTGGATTTCGTTGTCTTTTGACTTCCAAAAGGTCTTTGTGTCTACTTTGTTACCACAGAGATTATTTGCTCTCCAGCTACTACTTTACTGTCACGTTGCAGGAGCCTGAGTGCTGTGAACACCTGTCCCAAGGGTTGAGAATCCATTCAGGCTGTTCCTGAGGCCAGACAGATGTGGGAGCTGGAAAGGCTGCTTGTGCAGCCAGCTTGTCTTTCTACTCTTTGCAAGATTGCACCCTGCCTGCATTTCTTCCCACTAATGCCTCACTGAATACATCTTTGTGTATTAGCAGGATGGTAGCCTCTTTGATAGTCTTTTGGGCTCCAAGTGCTCTTAGCATTCAGAAATGCACTCTGAGCTCAGTCTGTCCCTTTCTCGTTATCCTGCTTCTGCGTCTCAGCATCTGCTGAGATCGAGCAATTCCCTTCCTTCATTTATATTTATATTTTGAAGGTATTTATAGATTCAAGCTATGGCCCCACGAGTTTTCTTTTCTCTAGGTTATATTTATAGATCTTTGATAAGCATCCCCTAGTATTTTGTTCTTATCTTCCAATGCTTATGTGCTGATTGTAAGCAGTTGCTTTGCTGCCTCCCCCCCTGCCCCGCCATGATTTTGCTCTGCATTATTCCAAATGTAGTGATTCTAGGTCTCATTTTAATGTAACTATATTAATTGAAAATGAAGCAGCCCCAGTAGATATAATACATAATCCTTCAACAATCCAGCCCCTGTAAAAAATAATCTTAAATGGTTTCTATTTTCCTACCTTTTAGAAGCTTGCTGCTGTTTCTTCTGCTGCCTGGGACAGGGCCTGTCTCTAGCTGTCCTTACAGCACTCAGCACAGTGGATTTCCACTTGCCTCTGGGTTCCTTCTCTTGTTCTGTAATGTGAGATAATTTGAAACAAAGGCAGCAATGACTGAAGAGTGAAGAATCACGTGTAAAGCCAGAATCTCACCAGCTCTGCTTTTGTAAAACACTTAATTTTCACACTGAACATTCCCAAACTGCTGTAACTGTAAGAGAGTTAGAATTGAAGGTGATAATGATATGGACTGGTGCAGATTTCCCTGAACCATACGCAAAATCAGCAATCTAGGCTCATAAATTAAGTTCAATAGCTGTGAAAGTGCCTTGAATTATTTAGCTTACTTGTCCAATGAGAACTGAAAATTATTAAACTCTTGCCAACTGATGTATGTACAATTTTTTTTTCACAGCACATTTTTCCTTGTGTACAGTTGGCATATTTTTAGACAAACATGGTCCGTCATTCTTCTGCCCTCTGACTTGTTTGGAATCTTTTTTATAGATTTTTCTTCCATTTCCCCCAAATAACTTTTCTCTAATTTTGCCTCCAAGTTTCAGACAGTGCTTTGATTGTATCTTCATGAGCATTCTGACCTTAAAATATCTTGACTTAAGAATTTGTCTGTGTGATAATGCAAGCTAGATTCAAGAAAGAAGAATATTATTTTCCTCTTAGTTTGCTGGTTTTTTTAACTTCTTGGAACAAGTGGAAACTTAACTTGTTCCGAAACAACTGGGGATTTAGTTTACATCTGCCTGGGCTTTCCTCTGGTGAGAAGGCATTTTCTTAAACAAGTAATATTGAAAAGGAGACACTGCTGCAATTTCAAATAGTGGTAGATAACAGGAACTTTGCTATGCAGTCTTGCTTGTTTTAGGAATGCCCTTCTCTCGTTATCACTTAGTGGCTCCTGATAATTGTTGAAAAAGTTGATATTTACATGGGGCTTACAGAATCAAGAGATATGTGGCATATTAGAAGGATTCTGTTCTCTTAAGCATGTTTTTCAAAGGTTACCCTAGCCCAGAGCAACAAAGCTTAATACGTGCTTGTTGAAAGGTTTGATTGGTTTTCTTTTCTATAACCTCAAAAAGTTTAACCTTTTAAGTGAGTAAATGCATATATTCAGCATGAATATATTTCATTAATTTATCCAGAATATTTCAAGGAACAGAGTAAGATCATTTGTCACAGCAGAGGAGAGGATGGCAGAATGATTCTATCAGTGTGCTGCTGAGCCTGGACATCCTGTGCTGTTTTCACTTTTTGTGCTGCCTTGTGTCTCTGAGTGAGGGTTTGGGTTAGAAAGCCATAAAAGTCCAACAGGGTGGAATAAGCTGAAAGCTTGGAAACTCAAAACCTGCAATTTCAGTGACTAGTACACCTAGTACTTGTAAGATTAAGTTACAGTGTATAGGGGAACATTTCTCTGACAGACTCTTTACACATTTTACATGTATATTTTTATAGTAGGGTGAGCAGTTTCCCAATATCACCATCTAAGGCTGCATTTTAAAAGAGTCACCTCTTACGTGTGCAAGAACATAATGGCCATCATGCACAATTTGCAAGCAGGTCATTGCTGGAAAACCTGAAGGATGTTTGAGGCATTTTAATTCTGCTAGTAGGAGCAATAACATAATGACGGTAAATAAGATCATTCCTAGATGAGGAAATGAGGGATTACTTGCCTAATAAGCCATTTGTATAAGGAAATGCTTATTCAAGGTTGAAAATGTTTCCAAACTTCAGCAAAAATCTTGGAATAAAAGCCTCCAATCTGCCGTCTCTTTATCTTCACAAATCTAAGATGCTGCTGTACACTTAAGGTGTGGAGATGCTGTGTGAGCCTGTCTGCAGCTAACAAAAGCCAAAGCCCCTTTCCCCCCCTATTAGTTGTTGAGAAGTGGTAACCTAAATTTGGAAGAAATTAAGTGTGCTATCACTAAGGGATTTCCAAATGAGCATTATACTAGTGACTGTAAAAGCCACATGTGGCATAGTGAGAAAACACATAAATCCCCTTGTTTTATGCTGTTACACCTTTGACAGGGCCCCTCTTGGGATGGTTGGTCCTAAGATGCATTAATTATAGCACTTAAGTTCAAATGTTCATTGGAATAGAGGCATGAACTGACCTTTCCAGAAGGAAAAGGTTAATGTTGAAAAACACTGATTTCAGCAATCCATCTTCTCAAGGTAACCCCAGAGTTTATGGTTTGCTTAACTACACAGTGTTGCTGTTCCCTTGAAAAATAACTTTCTCTCTGAAGTGATCTATGTAGCCAAACCAGTGTTCCCACTTATAAACTGAATTTTAATTGCCTGCTGTGTCTCTCTTATGTCTTTGTCACCTGAGAGGATGGAGCAGATGTTTAAATGCATCTGCATCCTAGGTGCTGCTGAGGTGGCAGACAGAGAGATGTTGTCATAAAATCTTCATGGTACTTCTTGCCTACAGTCTTTCTGGGAGGGGTCTGACAACAGTGCAATGCTTCAGAAGATGACTGCAAATGGGATAATGGGATGTCCATATCCACTTGGCATCAGCTTTTCAAGTTACTCCAATTACATAACAATGATGGTAATCAGACAACCATGTCACATCAAGAATGTTAATTGGGTGTTGTGTAGTAAATCTGAGCAAAGGAGAACTTGGGATCAGTATTAGGATCAATTCTTTACAGGGAATCTTTGGAGTAGACCATCTATGGAGAAACCATGGAAACTTTGCTTCAGTCACCTGAAGCAACTAGACAGGGCTCTGGAGCAATGTAGAAATTTATTTTCTATTGACAATTCAGAAGCATCAGATGTATTATCTTACCTAGCAGCTGGTGTCTGTGCCTGATATCCTCTGATTTCTTTCCCAGGAAAGGAATCCACCCATGGGGGAAGAGGACTTGGTGACTGCCAAACCCTTGGAAGTGCCCCTCCTGGCTGCTCTGTTGTTCTGCATAAAGCAAGACCTGCATTTGCAGTTCCTCCTGCTCTGGCTTCAGGTAACCCAGCCTGCTCCTTTCCAAATGGGAGTACAAGGGGTGTGTGTGGTATGGATGGAGTACAGACCACTACACCAGTCCCACATGTTCAACCGAAATGCCAATACAAGGGTATTTCATCAAGTCGTGGTGCTCTATGGCAAGAAAGATCATTTCTCCATTCATTGCTTTGCCTTATCTTGCTCTAAATGAATGGGACTAATGGTGCTTCCAGCTCTTTCTATCAGGAGGTTCTTTTGCAGTTTAATAGAGTGCCAGGACATCCCTCCTGATACTGTCTGACTTACATTTTTCATTGCTCAACTTCATCCAATTAATTTTACTTTAAAAATAAATCCTTTATGGTTTTGTGTTTTCACAAGCTCTGAATATTTTTAGATTGTTCTTGTAGTCCCCAAGTAGCCATTACTGGGAAATATTTTGTTCTTTTTTTTTTTTTTGGAAATTACATGCTGCATTTAATTGTAAGCTTGTGATTACTATGATGATAATAAAAAGTCATTTAAATTAGAACTGATTGGAAATTATAGTCATGGGACAGGAAGCCAACAGGAGCAGTAGGTCAAATCCAGTAAAACTTTTAGGTTTTCATTAGTTTTCAATGAAACAACTGTTGGCATTGGTGTGAGGCTGGAACTCTATGAGAGAACTAAAACCCTGCATTAGGAGACAGGATCCCAAATGCTTTGCTGGACACAAGACTTTGTATTTCCATATATTGAAAGTATTTTTATTTTATGAAAGTATGTGAGAGCAGGAAGCAGCATACATGGGGACAGACATTTTCACTCAGGGCTCTGGGGGATCACAGCTACTCATCATGGGCTGCAGGCTGTTGCTGTATCTATTTTCTCATCTGTAGGTCAATGACCTTATAGAATGTTTGAAAAAGCTTTGGCAACAGATGAAGGCAAAAGAGTGCCTTGATCTGCCCAGGCCTACAGCAGTTCAGGGAAGGAGGACTGTCACAGAAGACAGCTTTCAACAAAAAGTAACATTAATTAGCCCAGTGTTTTATTTCTTACATGTGTGTAGTGGCATTGTGACAGTAGACGTCTACACCACTACTTCTGTTAAAAGACTTTATTATATGCCTAGGAAATTGAGGTGAAAATCTCCTTTTTGAAGCTGCTAAAAGGCAAATTGCCAGCCTGAACAGAAAACAAGTGGCAACCTGGCTTGCAAACCAAGAGGCCTACAGCTTACAAAAAGTGCCAGGAAAGCTTTTCAAAAGGAACAAAGTGGTATGGCACCACACAATGGCAGGATGGCTTGGTGGTGTGCAAGAGATTTCCAAACACTATGACAGTGTGAAGTACATCCTAGCACAGATGGACAAATTATCCAAGCCTGACTGAGCCATTGGTCTAGAAGTCAAAAGGGGTTCTGAAATAACCAGAGCCTTCAAAGCAGTTTTTAGGAGGTGGTGCGTGCCTCAAAAATTACAGACTTTAAACCACTTTAAACCAACCTTTTAAAAAGCTGATAAAACAGTATAGTGTTCACAATTGTGTTATCTGCAATGTTAATTTTCATACCCAATGCTCCTATGTTACCATTCCTACACAGGCAGGATCCATCATCCCTTGTACGACATGCAAAACACCTAACTATCTAAACAATATGGCAAGACTGCCTTGTGTGACTGTTCCTGCATCTGCAGGAACAGTTTATACTGACATCTTGTCTATCACTTTTGTCTGTTTCGCAGCAGAAATGACACAAAGGATTTATGTATGGTCAAGTCCTCCACCACCAGGTCCTCCTCCACCGTCTGTGGTGCCAATCAACACAGCAATACACACAGATTTTGCCTTTGGATGGATCTTCAAATCAGGAGATCCCATAAAAATCTTCAGGACTGTTTGAAATCCCATCTCTAGAGCTCTGGTGTTGAGTAGTCAAATGCTTGCTTGTGCTGCTGTCCAGAAGTTCAGAGAGTCTACCTGGTCAGCCTTCAGTTGACACAGTGTTAGTTGGCTGTCTCTCCATTCCAGAGAGACTGGGGAGTTCCTGTCCCAGCCTGCCTGAGTAGCTGCTCTTTCCGAGCCAGGCAGCTGAGGATGATGCTGCCTGGCTGGTGGTGCTGGGGCTGATCAGCTCTGCCATACACTGGAAGGTGTAAAGAGAGACAGCACGGTCAGCAGCACAGTCACACACCCCTGGCGCAAAAGAGACCAGAGCGCTGCCCCGTTCCTCCCAGGGCAGAGCAGCTCTAGCCAGGGGGATCCAGGGAGAACCAGGTTTCCTCTCACCAGTGCCCAGGCCAGCCCAGCCATCGCACCCATATGTGGCTGCTCCAAGTGAAGCAATGTTGGTGCATGCCTTTGGAAGCACGAGAGGAGCAGAGGAGCACGTGTCATGGTCTGGGAAAGCAAATAGGTTGGTGGCCATATCACCCAGGGCAGGCAGAAAGGAAGCTTCCCAGCAAGGGAACCTGTCAAGATCAAAGTTGCCCAAGTGCAGGGTGCAGAGTGCTTGGCAGAGGTTCCTGAGCTGACCCCAGCTGTGTGCCAAGAGACCTTGCTCCCAGAGCCACCGGTGCGGTGAAGAGCCTGGGCATAATCCCAGGGGCATCCTCCAGTGCATGGAGGAACATGATCAGTGCTGACGGAAACATCTTTTCCGTCTCCCTCTCTGAAAGGTCTTCAGAAATCTGGCCAGACCAGAACTAAAACAAAATTAGGGCTCTTAAGGGCTTTTGAGTACAATTTCACTGTTTATTGGCATTATGTGTGATTGATCTTCTGGAGATCAATCATAGGGAGAGTCGTCTGTTCAACTGTCCTGTGTAATTTCTTGCAGGCCAAACTGAATTGTTAAAAGTGGATGATGTTTCAAGGATTGCTATTTAAAATAGATTTTTCCTATTTTTTTTAAGATTCATGCTTTTCAGAACCCTTTTTCATTTGACATTTTCACAAAAAATAAAATTTTCATGAGAAATGTTCATTTTCAATTAACCTGGTCAGATGACACAAACTTTCCATCAAATGCAGTAATTTTAAGATGAGATGGAGAAATGTCAAGAAAAACATGTTATTTTTTCTATTTATTAGAAAAAAATAAATTAGAAAAACACAAAATATTTTGTTCTCACGACCAGGCAAATATTTTTAAAGTCTATGCTCAGTTTGTTCCTTTTATTTCAAGGAACATGTGATATTGTTTTTATGACATTGTTCATTAAAAATGAAATATGCTTTTATCCTTTTTTAAGGTTCTCTGTTAAGCAGGATTGGCAGGGTACTGGAAAGGGTATGCTCCTGCTTCTTGGACTTCCTCCCGTCTGGCATTTCATGCCCTGAAGCACAGTAATTTAGATACCTGTCTTCCATTGTCACTGTTGCAATGCCTCTAATTTCAACCATGGTTAAAAGTGCTTTAGTAGCTGTCTTGGTGCTATTACAAATTCCTGGAGACTCAAACTTACTAGAAGCTTGTCCATAAAGGAAAAGGTGCCTGGTTTGACTCTTTCGAACAAGAGAATATTTTTAATTAGAAACCTCAAGAAAATTATGCCAACAGGCACTTTCTTGCTTCAATGGCAATAATGACTTCAGGACATGCAAAAGATACCAAACAATGTCTGGTTTAGGACCCTGTGTAGCATAGGCACTGAGATTCAGGAAATAGCATGCTGCTGCATTGAGTGTTGTGCTTTGGTCCCCTTTGCTGTCTCTTTAACATTTTAATTTCTTACTGTTATTACATCAGGTTCTTCACCCAAACCAGAATTTCTCACTACGTAAGTTATACAGAAATGATTACCATGCCAAGTGCTGGCAGCGTCCCAAGGTTTTCTGCTATGTCAGGACGTCAGCCCTCTTCTTCTTGAAAAGACCTAAAATTAAATGCATTTCCCCATTATTAGTTCTTGGAGAGCTGGCAACACTGACCAGAGTGGTCTTTCTGTATTAGACCTTTCAACATTTTTGTGATCTTTTCATTGGGTTCTGCAAGGTGCATTTTGCTTTGCTCAGATTCTTGTACTTAAAACCTGTTTCTGTAATTGAGTGTATATGAAATATTTTTCCTTCTTTCATTTTCTGTGGTCTGGCAGTAAACAAGCAGATGCTTTGTGTCATTGGATAAACTTAAATAGCATTTTATTGTCAGAAGTTAAATGGGAATGCCCAAAGCATGAAAAGAAACGAGTATTTTACTTTATCTGCAGAATTAGAAATAATATAACAAATTGCATCCTTCTGCATTAATGGTATTTAACACAGGTATGATTGGTCAAATCGTAATGCAGAATGGAAATCCTGTATAATGGTGCAAGTTCCTTGGAACAATTTCTTTGCTGGGCCTTTGCATTTCTTTTAGCTGGTTGTTCTAATGGAAAACACACCCTTTCTATTTACATAAGTATCTTCCCAACAGGCACTTTCTTGCTTCAATGGCAATAATGACTTCTTTCTATTCCAGTCTCTGGAACTCTTAAGGGTATTATTTTCCCACAAGATCAGTAAGTTAAATTTCCTGCCATGACACAACTGAAAATTATTCCATTCCCAAAGAGCAAGAGTGAAGCACTTCTCATAAAAGTAGCAATCCTTTAAGGGTACTTGAAGTTGCATCTTTTGGACCACTACTTATGGAAAAATCGTTCCAGGGATTTTTGCCATTTAATTTTGAGTATTTTTTAGTCAGTTTTTAGTTAGTTTTCATTTCATTTTGTCTTGCATCTTTGGATAAATTGCTGACATTTCTCCAAGCTTGATCAGTACTATATTGAAGATGATATGCAACCAGCCTTTTTATTAAAACTTAAAATATGACCACCAGGAGGTCAGACCCTGAAGAACTGTATTTCTCTCAGCTTTTCTCATTAATTACATAATGGACAGATTGAATGACTAAACTTTCTGAGGTGGCTGTTATGCGATTTCCTGGGGTTTCTTTTAGGAATGGAAGAGAAAAATTATGTAACTGCAGAAAAAAAAATAAGTGGGAAAAAAAATTTGAAGCACTTGAATTCAGATTTATAAATTGTTTCACCAGAAGTAATAGTGATTCATACTTTCATTTCTTTTACAGGGGATAAATCGGAGGTGTTTTGGCTGAGGAACAACTCTTCCCTGGGGGGAAAAAAGGCCAAAAGCCAATTCACAGAAAGACAGGTTGAATACTAGAACTCAAGATGACAATCTGACAGCCACTTGGCATCTGCTCTCAGATGGCAGCCAGCTGGCTTCTCACAACAGTGTGTGCACCAGCAACATTGTTAGGAAGAGCTTGCTGAGAAAGGCAAGGCAGTCCCTGCTTCGGCGCGACACCTCCTGCGAGGCTCCTCCTGTGCAGAGCCCGGTGTGTTGGTGCGTCACAGCGGGGCTGCTCTGGCACTGCTGCCTTTCCCCACAACATCTGCACCCCCTGGCACCCCTAAGGAATCACCAAATTACTGATGGGGGCTAATCAGCATCAACCACCTGATTTTCTGGCCTTCATCCTGCTAATACACAAGGGTTTATAGCTTTATGCAAGGCAGGGCCAGCCATTTGACTCAAAGGACAACGAGACTGTCGGGTGAAGGCTTCAGAATGTTGGCTCTGTGGACTTGGAATTGCACTTGCTTGCACAGTACCTTGCAGAAGATGAACCCACCTATCATTTTGATTCATAGTGGCAGTATGGATTTGATTAGATATTTTGCTGGGAGACAGCAAAATTTTCCATTCTTGTTCAGCTCGAGGACAGGTTGAAAAACAGTTGCCATACAAAGCTGCCAAGCTCTGCTCTGTCATGGGAACACCTTGCAGCCCTCTTATCAGGCCCCACTGACTACAGTGCTGAAAATGTGCCAGTGCTGGTGGTGTGTACTTCACTTGTGTGTAAGCCATTGTTCCCGGCAGGGATAAATATAAGGGCAGGGAGAAATGCCTGCATCTACAGACAAGGACAGTACTGCATCAAGAATGGACCTAAACAGCAAGAATGGACCTAAACAGCTGCCAAATGTGTATCAACTTCAGGTCTTTTTCTCTGTCCTGTCTGCACCAGCTTTTTCAAGTGCTCTTGTTCTTGCTCCGAGAATTCCTGATCTATCTCTGCTTTACTGATAGCTGTCACAGACACACAATCCACCATCTTAAGTATTTGTGTGATCATGAATTCAATGCAGAACACTGAGAGCTTTCCACTTCTGGCAATTAACTTGAGATAAATAAAAGTGGTAAGAGGAGGCATTAAGTTACCCACCTGCAGAAAACTGGCTCTCTGCTGAGTGCTCTTGACAGATGAGTGCATCTGAGGAAGTGCTAATTGCAATATACTCCTTAACGGTTTTTATGTTGATGCACAAAAGATTGAGAAAATGGGAAGAAAATGAAAATGCCTCTGTCTTTTGAGTCACAGTGGAAAATATACAGGAATTGGCCTCTCACACAAAGAATATGCTAAGAACAGGGGAACAAGCAGAGGGTTGGTGCCATGAATAGAAATCTCCGTCTGTGCTCTGGCCATGGTCCAGACTGCATGACATAGTGTACCTGATACGGTGCCCATTTGGATTATTTATATAACATCATAGGTGCAATGAGTAATGCAGGAAGATGCTCTGTGTGACCCCAGAGTCTCATGTTGAGAGTGAGACAGACACGAATACGAAGGTTCATTTTTGATGCATGCACAGGAAAAAGCAGCACTGGATCAGATGAGGAACAAAGCTCAGGTAAAGAAGCAAGTACTGATCTTGGCCATAAAAATGACATGAAAAAAGACAAAGGATTGCTAGGTGGGCACAAAGTGCTGTGAAGTAATGGAGCCAAGGGTGAGGACTGAGAGTGCAACAGAAGGAATGGTAGGAATGGTGAGATTAGACAGAGCTATGTGTCTCTAGGAAATGAAGTTACAAAGACTGTGGACTTGGAAGAAAACAGGAAACTGGGTTATAGGAGTGGTGGACTGTAATATACGTGCATAATATGCAGCTGGTACTTGGTACACAATATTTTTGAAGACATGGGCAAAAAAACAAGAGACAGGATAAAGGCATAAGTGTCTGGAGTAGATGCAACCAGTGCAGTGAATGCCTGACATGATGGGAGCCATGTGAGCTGGTGGCACTGCTAACCCACTTGGGGTCAGTTGGCTTGGGATGAAGCAGAGTTCATCAAGTAGGAGGGAAATGCAATGTGCTGGCATCCCCATGGCCATTACTGATGGGAGTGGTGAGAAATCCATAGCCCCACACTTATCCTGCACCCTCCTTCCCCAAAAACTGCACCAGGTGCACCTCTTGTCCATAGCGCTATAAAGACCTCAAAAGTGAGCGCAACAACAGCAGATTGAAAATATATCTGAATTTAACTGCAACAGAGCTGCATTTAACTCACTTGTGCAATTTCCCACCCTTAAAAGGGAAAATGCATGCTGTATGGTCCAGAAGGCACAACAGGGAGAGTAGATGTAATGTGCTGGAGACAATTGCTGTAAACCTGCACTATCTCTACTCCATGTTATATTGCAGTAATTATTTTTTCCTCCATAGAGAAACTTTTAAAAAGTCAAAGAACAAAGGCTTTTTGCCAAAGATATAGCAGATCCTTTGGCTCTTCAAATGCTACCCCTTTGGAGAAGGAAGAAATGCAGCCAGGATTGCATGTGGCAGCTCAGGAATATCTGGGAAACAGCACAAATGTTCACAACAACCTCTGACCTGCTGCACAGAATCTGCCCCATGCAAACTAGGAATGATGATTACAACACAGACCTGGCGTCAGCCAAAGAGCACAGCGTGTTCAAAAGTCCCATTTACAGCATGATTTGGGTCAGTAGAAACCAGGAAGGAAATGGTTACGTGAATGTTTCTTCACTGTATTGTTTACAGGATACACAGGGAAATTTTTGGCTTCATATTTGGGTAGTTCAAAAGGCAGAGCCAGCATAGTTGAGAAGAAGAATTGGCAGCACTGAATTTGGCCATAGCAAAGGCAGATTTCAGTGCTGACTGCCAGAGATTACGTCTTTGTTCATCCTTTTAGTGGCAGTTCTGACAGGCTCCCACATCAAATCACTCCAGCTCAGGCCAGAGAGCTATTCTGGCAGGGTTTATCCACTTACATAAGCAGGGAAAAGATGAGATGCGACCTTGACTGGCATAACCGCGTTGGGAGCAGCCTCCAGTTCTGAAGTAGTTTTCTTGGCAGAACCATGCAGTTACCTGGATGACCTGGTTTGTTTTGTGAGGCTTCTAATACCTCTGTTTTGCACTGTGGCTGTACTGTGGGCTGCCTGCACAGACCTGCCTGTGGCTCTCAAGTCTGGATTTAGTGGCCATTTTAGCCTGACTGGAGTTTCCTGGAGTGGGGCAGCACAAAATATTGTTTCTCTACTGCATGTTTTTATATGGTGGCAATGGAAAATATTACAGGGTGTCAGATGGATAAAATTTTCTGTTACAAAGAGCAGAGATATTGCAGTTACCCATATCACTGTCCTGTTGTTATACAATGTACTTTGACAGAAAGTTCAAAACATCTTTTAGACTAGGATTGATGAAGGAAGGGCCAGCATCATTCAAACAATATTGGATTTAGATTTTCAAAAATCAGGATAAACTATTTTTCCAGTGGCCTAATCCTATTTGCTTCATTAAAGGCCTGCTGCATTGCAGGGAGCTGCAATTCAGGGTAGAAAATTCTTCCAACAGAAGAAAATGGCTTTAGCCTTTTGTGTGTGAGAAAGAGGGCAAAGAAAAGATTATGGAAGACAAACTATGACACATTTGTTTTGAACCATTTAAACAGCTCTAGGCATGGGCTGTATTTTTCAGTATTTTCAAACATATTTTTTTATGTACTACAATAGAACTAGTAAGGAACTGGTATCATTTGATGCTTCTATTTCTGTACAATGGTGGTTTACTAATTATTTATTCCATGTTTTTAACATAAATTCATGGATCAGTAAAATAACAAATTGAGCACAGGCCTGAAGAGTTCTAGGTTATTCTCCTGACTTCTACTCCATCCTTTCTTTCCCATCTCATCAGACTTGGAGAAGTACAAAATAGAGAAAAGATGGAATGCCAGCTGGAAAGAACTGGTAATGGCCTCTTGCCTGGGGACGGTAATTTGTTAAGCTCTCTCCTGGGATGGGTGCTCATTAGTCACAGTCCTTGTGAACTGAGCCTGGTCTGTTCTTGATCAAGATATGTGAATTTAAATCAGAACTTGAGGATCTCCAGAACAGAGAGCTGGGAATTTGCTTCATCAGTCCAGGTAAACTAACTCTAGCCTATGGTTATCATCCACAGCTATGAATCCCAAGTTGATTATGAGGAAAATACAACAATTAAAATTCTACTTAATTTAATATACCTGAAGTTAGATCAAGTTCCTTTGATGCCTCTCAGTAGAAGAAGACCAGAGCACTTCCCAGCGTTGCACTTTGACTGTAAGACTTTCATAATTATTTGTCAGTCATGGCCAGCATTGAAGCCAAACAAGATCCTTTATAATCACAAAACATTTCAGCTTATTCACTACCTCTGTGTGTTTCAACCACAACTTGCCACCATTGGGCTCTGAGATCCAAGCAGTTGCAATGACTACAGATGCACTGAATGTTGCCAGGGAAAGCAGGAGGAGGAATTGAGCCTCAACACAGACTTATTTTTAAAATTAAATCCATGAAAGAGTGAAAAATGACCTCAAATCTTTTTTCTTGGCCCATTATTTTCCTCTGAGATGAATAAATAAAACAAAGGTTGTGCAAGAACTATTGTATTTTCTAGTTTAACTTCTATTTTAGGTTATTCAGGGAGGCAGATGCATGTAGTCTGACAGGAGGCATTAAGCTCAGTGAACATTTTTCAGTTCAAAAGCTTAACCCCCCCTTTAAGCAAAATATTTCCAAAAGAGGAGAGTGAGCAATTACCTGTTGCAGCAAACTTAGCAAACGTTTTTTGATACTCATGGCACCATTTTTCCTGCACATCAAAGAAAAATATCACTCTTCATTAAATATATCAATTAACTTATCACAGGATCTAATTGATATTTCAATTCCAGCAAATAACATGCTTGCTTTTTTTTGTTCTCCAGCTGCATAATATCTGACAGCTCACTGAGCAGTCAATGTTGTGGAGAAATCATGATCAGTTTTGTAAAGTCTGTCAATCATTCAAATATTCAAGTTCTCTTTAGACCGAAAAGGTTTCCGAATTATATTAGACATTGTGAGTTTCAGTCTCAGCCAAAGCCAGAAATACACGAGAAACAGAAACACCTGAACAAAAATTTTCTAACTAATTTATATACATTTTGAGCTCTGAAAAAGATAATTCAATTGATTGATTCATTTTTAGAGATGGTTATCTCTTTTTTAGCAGGAGCTTCAGGATTTTGATGTGAGCAGAGGCAAGATCTTGTTCCTGTGTATGTGCTTCAAGTGGGAGTTCAGCCTGGAGTAGTCAAGGCTGAAGGACACAGTTTGTTTTTTAAAGGGTGGGAGAGGAAGAAACTGGAACAGATTAGATCTTATTCCAGAATTTTGAGTTTACACATTAATTGCCCTGTGACAAAAAGGGTGGCAACCACTGTGGAAAATGGTCTGACATTTGCTTCATTTTCTGTAATTCAATGTGATTTCTGTGCAGGCCTGGTGCTGGGGTCTCTGCTAAAGTAAAGCAAGAAATCTCACCTAGATGAAATGTAACCTTCTGACAAAGTATTTGATTGAGGCTTAAGAGATCTGGACTCATTTCCAGGGCTTTCACCTGTACACATTCCTCCTAAACTCACATTCTTAACTTTGCTATGGGGAAATAGCATGACTGGATGATATGTGATAGAGTCAATGTTTGTATGGTGACAGGTCTTTAAAAATGCAGAACAGCAAAACAGCACCACCTCCAGAATCTAAAATTAATCTAACTATGTCATAGAAAGGCTGCATAAATAGCGAGGTTTTTTCTAGGTTTGCATATTTTCTATTAAATAAAGACTGAATTTTTTTCCATTCATTTACGTCTGGGTTATCCCAGTTTGAACTGCACTAAGAAATGTCATTGCCACAGGTCAAATTAATGATTCCCTGGATAGATGGCTGAGTCCCTAACAGAAGGCACAGTGCTGATTCTACTGTGAGAGTCATTGCTCTTGAAATGTGGTGGATGGTGAAGACGAGGCAGGGAAATATACTTGCATTTGGACTTCAGACAACAGCTCACATTCTGCAAGAGAAGTTTTTAGAACATATTGTCGTATTTATTCTGTTCTCTGTGGAAAATGTTGAAAGGAAAAAATGTAATTTATCTCCCTAGGTGATTTCAGGTCTCAGTTCTGATCTTTTCTCTTGATTTTTCTTAAAGTGTGGAAGGATTAACTTTAAGGGTTTAATTTTAGTCTAAAGTATTTTAAATCAACTTGTAAGTCTGTGAAATGGCAACCACTGTTTTTTTTAAAATTTTCTTTCCCCTTTGTCAGAACATGTTTTTTCTCATATTCTTCTCTTCAGTGTATACACCATTAATGTAGTTAAATCATCTCACTGGCTTCAAAGATTCCCTCACTGTCTCCATGGTCCTACTAAACTTTAAGAATCACAGGTCCCAACTGAAAAGAGTATCCTCCATTTGTTCTTGTGCCTTTCTTTGTCCTATTTCTGTCCTTTGTTTTCTCCCCAGAAAGCTCCAGGCTTGATTAAGTTGCCATTTTCAGAACTGCTAGAATTGATGAAATATGATAATAAAAACAGTGGGTTGCTAGTGCAGAGAAGCTCCTTATGTTTGACATCATGCAACAGTGGAAGGCCCTCACCTACATTCAGCTTTGCATTCCACCTCCCAAACTACTTCTCCTTTGCAGAGGAAGGGCCACATTATTCTGCCCTAGTGCTTTCCACCAAAACTGGGTATCTCATTCTGATGTCGTTCATTTTGTGTCCTCCTCTCCCCCTCTTCATGTTGCCTTTGGTCAATGGCCTGCTGCTACTGGCTGTGTCCTTCAGGCTGAAGGCTGGTGTCCCAGTGCCTGGGGACCTTCCCATGCCCCAGAACGCTTCACTCCACATCAGTGGGTGGTAGTGGTCCAGGTTTTTGGCAGAAACTCAGGTTTTTGGAGATGCAAAGCCAATGATGAAGATGCCATCTATAGTTAAATTGTTGGGTGGTAACTGGAGCTGGTGAGCAGGCTGGACTGCATTCAGTCTGTGAAAGATGGCTGATGAGAGTCATGGACATAGTCTGGGATCCCTGATTGCAGTAGGGTCCAGGGGAGCAACAAAGACTCTGATGGCCTTGAGAACAGGGACTTAGGAGCAGCCACAATATGCAATATCTTCAAAGGCCCTGGTGCCAGGGCTGGGGGAAGACCTAAGCAGTCCTTCTGAGCTGCCTTTGTCAACTGGATGCTCATCTTGAGACCTACTTAATGAGGCTAAGCCAGGAATTGTTTTGACTGAGTGTCTGAGCTGGAATTCTTTGAATAAAATTTTTGTTTTTCTCTGCAGCCTCTTAGAAGCTTGATTATTCCACTAGAGACATTTTGAGACCAATCCCATGAACATATTTTGAGCTTATTAAAAGCCTATCTTTAAACTGGCGCATACAAGCAGCAATCAATGAAAACTTGGCACTGCTACACTGAACCACATTGTGCTGGCCATAATATTGATGTTTGCTGAATATTTACAGCATTAAAGCAACCGTTCATTTAAAAGAAACAAGTTGGAAAGAGCTTACACTGAAAGCAATAAGTAAATTATATCAAATACCATATGAGTTTTGATGCAGCATAAGTAAATCATTAAAGCTAGCTAAGGCTGTTATGATAAAAGATTTGTCTGAGAAGTTCTGCATAGAAGATAGTGGATTAATGTAGATTTTGGTAGTATAACTTTTTTTTTCCCCTTCCCAAAGAAGTGTTTTCCAGAAGGTAAAGTGATTCAGAATTATGTTGAACAAATGTGCATGAGAGGGTAATTTGGTTTTGTTACGTGAGTGCTATGCTTCACCTCATGGATGGATTCATGTCTGTATCTAGAATGTCATTTGACTGCTGTGTGTAATGAAACACAAAGGTTTTCTGGCTAGAAAAATAAATTTGTGCTCAAGAAAAGATGGCTTTTCCTGATTGGCAAAGGCTCAATGTGTTTTCAGGAATGGAGTGCAGAGAAAACCTTTTCCCCAGCTCTGATAACAGTGATAAATTATAGCATAAGTTGAAAAATGTGAATTTTTTTGTTTGTTTTGTAAAAAAATAAACCTAAAAGATTTCTGCAACATTTTTATTACTTTACATATATTTCTATCTAGGCAAGAAAAACATCCTATTAAAGTCCTGTTTTATTTTAGTCTTGAAAGGAAACTCACCTGAAATTGAAAACATTCAAAATGTTACAGTCAGCACTGAAAACTTCTGTTTCAACATGCTTTTTTTATGCACATGTCAAGTGCACTATAATCAGCAAGTAACTGAGCTCTATGTATGTACCTAGGATATAGTATCAGCTTTCCCAGATGAAGAAATGAAAGGCATAGAGCAAATGAACAACTTTCTCAGGATCATACAGTTAGTCAGTCTGGATTTCAGAATGTTCAAGCCCTTGTTTCAACCATTTCACAGGGATTCAATCTAAGGCTAACATTGTTTTTTTCAGGAGTCACATTGGAAAAGACTTTCTCCTGAGTTTATCTGATGCCTACCTGCTGTGTATGATGTCCAAAAATATAGTCAGAGCATAATTTATAAAGAACTTCAAGGCATAGACAACAGGAAATGTCCCACTGTGGCAAGTGCCTTGGTGTGCAAGCTTGTGCAGTGATCTCACTAAAGCCAGTCCATGCTCCAGTCTCCAAATGTATCAGGCTGAGTTGATAATTTTTCTCAGTCTCAGGAGTTCCATGTAATTTCTACTAAAATCTTACTAAGGCATTTATGTAGTCTGTAGCATGTAACTTTTTAATATTGTTTCTTCTGGACTCCATTTTAAGTGACTTGGAGAGTTGGGAAGAAAATCCCTGCCTGTGAAGCAGTGAGGCTGAGTTCACTCACTCCTGGGTGAAATATTCCCCTGCTTATGCCTTGGCAGATGGGAAGGACCAGCCTACGGAATACCAGACTGAGCATGGCGAGCTGAGGAAGAAGAAGCTGTGTTCATTTCACTCACTAATCAAGAATAATCACAGAAGTTCAAAATTACTACAGTAGTTAGTGCCATGACAGCGTAACAAACATGCATTGAAAGGCAGCTAAATAAAATATTTAAGGGAATGCACCTGGCAGTGGCATTTGGTCCTGCAAGGATGGGTAAGTTGGAAATGCAAAGATAAATGGATTCCTCCAGCCTTTGTTCAAGGATTCAGAGTAATAACAGCAATAGCTGACAGTGGGTTTTCTTCACAGCAGGAGGAATCCATTTGGTTCTTACAGCTACTGACAATTCTTCGGTGATTTTTGTTGTTATATTTTTTCTAATCCTATTTGAGTACCTGTTTTTTATGAGATTAATGGCTCGCAGTCTGTGAGACACTTATTTAAGATGCAGGAAGAAGGATGTGTCTGCTAGACACATCTGTGCTCTGCAGTCTAAAATTGCCTCCTGTTGTGAGAGAGAGAGGGATAGAAAGAAGTGACTGGAGTACACTTGAGCTGCT